TAATTATTATTATTAAGTTTTATTTTTTTATTATACTCAATTTTTATTCCTTTTTTATTATCTTAATTTAGATCATAAAATAAAAATGTATTAAATGATTATTATTAAAATAGTTATTAAATAATTAATTATTAAATACATTAGACATAATTTATATTTTTAAAATATATTTATATTTATTATAATGTATAAGATTATAAAATACATTTTATTATAAAAATGATTTTTATATTATTTCATATAATTAATCATAAAAATAAACCTATTTTTACCTTCTTTTTTAAAAATTTTTTTTACCATAAATAAACCCTATTTTAAACCTATTTTTTGAAGACCAGTCATGCCGCTGCATTCTGAATCATTTGTAGAGGTTTGATTGTGCTTGATGGAAGTCCAGCCAGAAGAGCATCGCAGTAGTCCAGCCTAGAAATGACAAGGGCCTGGACAAGAAGTTGTGCAGCATGCTCCGTTAGAAAGAACCTGATTTTTCTGATTTTGTGCAATGCAAACCTGCAAGATCGAGCAGTCTTTGAAATGTGGTCTTTGAAGGTCGGCTGGTCATCAAAGGTTACACCAAGATTTCTGACCGAAGTTGATGGGGTAATTGTAGAAGCACCTAGCTGGATGGAGAAACCATGCTGTAGAGTTGGAGTGGCAGGGAAGACAAGAAGCTCAGTCTTTGCCAGGTTGAGCTGTAGGTGATATTCTTTCATCCATGCCGATGATTTGGAATCAGCTTTTGCAATCCGCAAGGCTTCCGTGACTGACAGTAACGCAGTCTCGGGTGAATGGCCACTCCAGAAACCTGACTGGTTAGCGTCCAGTTTGTTGCTCTGTGAAAGAAACAATGATACCTGGTTAAAAAAAAAAAAACTTGTTCAAGGGTTTTCGCTATGAACGGAAGGAGAAAGACAGGTCTGTAGCTGTCTATAAGAGAAGTGATTAATGTAGGTTTTTTGAGCAGTGGGGTTATCCGAGCCTGCTTGAATGCAGTGGGGAAAGTGCCTGTGAGGAG